GAAACTGACTCTGGGCACATGTGCGTGCATGCCCAAAATCCCAAGAGGAGAATGGAGAAGGGATTTTGGAATGGCCACCCCCCGGAGAGTAATGTCTTACTGTCCCTCCATTTCTCACTTGCAAGTACATGTGCCTTATGGCAAAAACCTTTAAAAATAAATAAGGAAAAAGCATCAGAATACACTGTCCCTTTGCAGTGGGAGTGAGAAATCACCCCCGGGGGGAATGGCCACGCCGTAATCACTTCTCCATTCTTCTCTCGTGATGTGCCCTCCATGAGTATGAGCCATGGGGTCCGGGACTTGAACTGCAGTCGACTACATGGGAGTCTAGCAACATTAGCCATTATGCCAGCCGCTGGTCCCTGAAGGTGGCTTCTGTGTTAGCTCCCTGGTACTGCTAACACAGTCACTACACCCTGTGGCTTAAACAAGACATGCTTCTGCTCACACCCTGGAGGCTGCAGTCCCAGGTCGAGGTGTCGAGGTGCCAGCAGGGCTGGGGCCTCCCAAGGCCTCTCTGTGGCCTGCAGATGCTGCCTTCTGCTCTGTCCCTTCGCATCCTCTCCCTCGGTGCATGTCTGTGTCCAAATTTCCCCTGCACAGGACAGTAGTCTCACCGGACCACCCTAATGGCCACGTTTCTCACGATTACCTGTGCAAAGGCCTGTCTCCAAAGACAGCCACACCCTCTTCCTGAGGGTGTCGGAAGACAGAGAAGGGCCATGAAAGGCCCCGGCTAGGCCTCTCTCCCTCCTCCCCAGACGCCCTCCTGGCCCTGACAGTGGGCTTTTGTTGGGGCTCGGGCTGTCAGAGGCAGAAGGCAGGAAAAGCTTTATGAAGTGGGGATTCGTGCTGCTGCACGGACTCCTTCGGGGGCTTGCTCTGTTTGCTGTAGAAGTGGAACCAAAGTGAAGGCTCAGCCGGCGAGGGACACTGGCCACTTCATTGTCGAGCTGTTGAATTTTCCTTCCTAGTTCCTAAGTGGAGACAGCCAGCTGAGCCAGAACATAGAAGCAGAGGTAATATTTACTCAGCTCAAAGTTAGAAATGATGAAAATAAAAAATTACAAACTGTTAAGACTGCTACCAATGAGGTCCTGGCAGCTCCTCGGAGCCCTGCAGTTCTCCAGTTGGCAATTAAAGCACACCGTGTAAGTGTAATGTTTTAATAAGAACATTCCTGAAACATTATTGGTCTCTCCTTGCGACGCACTTCTCCCGACCCGGTTCCTAGACGGGTGGACTCGTTCCTTTCCAGCGGCCTGGCCAGCAGCACGGTGTTTCTGACCGGGCGTGCCGTTGCACTCAGGAGCCCTGGACCTCGGGCTGCCACCTCCAGCTGCAGAGGGGCAGGTGGAGGTGCCGTCTGCGTCTCCACGTGGCCGCAAGGCACTCCCGGTCTGCAGCATAGTCTGCTTCCCAGGCTGTGGTCGTCTTGTGCCACTTTTTTCTCACATCCTGGAAATGATACCTTTTCAGGAGGACGACCAAGCTCTGGTGAATAAAATGCCCCCAGTAATTAAAGGCCGGCGGCTTTGAAGTCGCCCGAGGAGTCGGGAGACGGCCTGTAATCACATCTCAGTACGCGCACTGATTCAGGCCGACAGGTGAGGCGACTGACGGATGAAAAGTCTGAACAACAAACACGTTCAAAAGAAACTGAAATCAAGACCAGAACCGCACCCCAGACGCGTCCGAGGGAGGGCCGAGGTGGTTAATAGTCTCGCGTAACCGCGTCTGCCGCTAATGAGAGATCGCCCTGATATCGGCGGCCTATCCCCCGTTTGAAATGCCTGGGACCAGACGAGGTTCAGATTTCGGATTCTGAGTGGGGGCGGATTTGAGAGTTTGCACGTACATAATGACATGGCTTGGAAGTGGGACCCAGGTCTGAGCAGAGCTCCTCTGTCCCCATGCACCTGTGCAGAGCCTGACGGCCGCCGTGTCCTCTCTCTTCGTATTGCGTGCTTTGACTGCGACCTGCCCCGAGGTCAGGCCTGGGCTTTTCCTCTGTGGCGTCGTTTTGGCTTTCCAAATGTTTCGGAGAGTGGAGCATTTCGGACTTTGGATCTTTGGATTGGAGATGCTCAATCTGGATGAAAGAGACCAGAATCAGAACAGACCCGTTCGCCACTTTGCCGATAAGAATTTCTCTCCTGAACGCTGACAGTCCGATGTCACCTTAGCAGTCCGTATGGGAGGTTTCTGGAGACTTCCGCTGGCGTCGTACGTCTCGAGTTTGCACACATTTGAGCGGGGCCTGGGCCGGAAGTGGCTCTGATAAACGTCGTCATTCCCAGCGGTGAAGCTGCTCTGCAGACGCCCGCTGGCGCAGCTGCAGTGAGCAGGGGGCTGCACGTGCTTCCCAGAGTAAGCTCTGATCATGTGCCAGCGACCGCTCACGCGGTTCCGCCCAGAGCTGGCGTCCTCCAGATGCTGTCACCTCTGAGTGTCCACTGGCCCGCTGACGGGAAACGTGCCGGGTACGGATCACGCATCCCGCACATTAACCCAGTGGCCCACGTGGTGTCCTCGGCTCGGCCTCTGTGCGGGCCGTCTAGGCCGTTTTCAGGGTTGCCGCCATTGGAGTGCCACGTGCGGTTACGTGGAATGTTCCATGGACTGTCCTTCCCTGTGAGCCGTGGCCGAGGGATAGCAGGGGGTGCAGCAGAACTGTTTTCCCGCGGGCTTGTGCTCTAGTTTAGGCGGGTAGGAGAGTTGAGACGACAGTACAGGGGTCCCCAGCCACCCCACCCAGTTCCCCTCTCACCCTCTTTAGTTAGCTCAGTACGTTGCCCGAATGTCAATACGTTATCCTGACTGACGTCCATACTGTTCCTGTTTTCTGTCCTAGGATACCATCCAAGATGTTGTGTAGTTAGTCTTTGCCTCTGGGCTGCAGTGTGATTTTGTTTCTGTTTTGTTTTTTCTTTTTCAAGTTTATTTCCTCTGAGAGATAAAGAGAGAGAGAGAGAACTGAATTCCCAGAGGTCTTCATGCCACCACCCACCCCAGCCCAGAGGGAGGTGCCAGGCCCTTCCTATGCGGTCCATCTGTCTCCCTGCTCTGCTGTTTGGCCGTGGAACACGTTTTAAGCGTAGATAAAACTATGCAGATGGTGTAACGGTTATAGTGCTGGACTCCCAGATAGTCTACCGTAGTTCAAGTCCTGGATCTGGTGGCTTAAAACTCACTCTGGGCACCTGTGCATGCATGCCCAAAATCCCGACAGGAGAATGGAGGGGAAGGGATTGCAGCGTGGCCACCCCACCTGAGGGGGGATTTCTTGCTTTCCGTCTTGTCTGTCTGGCAAGCACACGCACCCTATAGCAAAACTCTCTATTTAAAAAAAACAAAAACACAAACAAACAAAAAAAGCCTATGTGTTTAATGTGTCATTTCATTATAACTAGCCTCACTAATGTTTCTGTTTCATATGTGTGGTCTTCAAGATGTTCATAAAAAATGCATATCATGGAAAACTGTCCATAGATTTCAAATATTTTTTGCACCAAGATAAGCTTATAACTTAATTCCATTTTTTCCACAGCCTTTTTAAAGTCCCATCGTATTTAATGCTTTTCCTCTTTAAACATTGAAACATTAATAAGGAGCTTCTAAATCACCATGACCATGCAGCACGCTATCGGAGGCAGGGGTTTCCTACTGTAGTTGTCACTGTGTGTGCGTCTGTGTGTGTGTGCGTGCGTCTGTGTCTAGGTTTTTGCTATAGGGCTCATGCACTTTTCAGAAAGAGAGAGAGAGATGGGGAGAAGGAAAATGAGAACTCATTCCCCGGGGGGATGGCCGTGCTGCCATCCCTTCGCCCTCCTCCTCTCAGGATTTTGGGCACCCACGCACATGTGCCCAGCATGATTTTCAAGCTTTTGAGTCCGGGACTCAAACCATGATCAGTCACATAGGAGCCCAGCACCTTAACCAGCCTGCCACCTGCCGGCCCCAATGCATGCATTCTTACGGGGGAAAGTCCTGTGTCTGGAGGAGTCTGAGATGAGATGCCCCACATGTGCTCTCTCTCCCATTTGGGGAAAAAAAAAATCTGTTTTCAGAGAGAGTGAGACAGAGAAAGGAAGAGACAGGTGACCTCAGAGCTTCGTTCCGTGATCCACCCCCAGTTTCACCTGCGACCCGGCACGCCCCTGCCTGGTGTGCTGCGGTTCCCGTCCCAGGATTTTCCAGCGTGGGTGCGGTTATGTGAGCACTGTGCCCCTCAGCACGCTCTCCACACGTGATGCCTCTGTTTGTAACGTGTATCTGTTTCTGTTAGGAGAGACAGGTAAGATCGGCACCCCGCCAGTCCTCAGGCCGTGGTTCCTCCCCAGCTCCTGCTGGCCCCGACCACGAGCACGTGTGCGTGTGCCGATGTGCGCAGGGAGGTCCCGGGACAGGAACCCAGGACCTTTCCCAAGCAGATCCAGTTCCATTACCATGGCACCTCCTGACCCCAGATCTGGCGTACTGGCTGGCATTTTACCAAAACAGCAGACTCGCATTTGCCTAAAGGAGCATTCTCAGTTTTGGAAGAAAAATCAGAGTCCTGAGGAGCTGAGACAGATGGGCCTCCTGAGAAGCTCCTCTCTGACCGGGTGCAGAAGGCACTCGCCTTCCTGTGCCCTTCCCGCTACATCCAGTGAGCTACTGAGGATGCAGGCCTTGCTGGAGCTCGGCGCTGGCTGGGAGCGGGGTCCACACGGGCCTCGATGGCCTCGCAAGAGGCGTCCCCGTGTGTGGACTGGGGTCAGTTGTCAGCTAAACCAGTCTGGCAGTGACCACCAAAGCCAGCCGTGGTGTGGAGGGGGTGGTAGGCGCAGCCGGGAGGTGACCACCTGTTCTGTGCAGAAGCGCGTGCTTGGGGAGAGTCAGCGGCGCGTGTGTGGCTTCCGCAGGGTGGCCTGTGCGCCGGCCGTGACGAGTCTCCTCCGTCTCCCTGGTGGCTAGCTGACCCCTGTCCTTCTGCAGCAGGAACGTAGGCGTTCATGGCCTCCGTGCTCAAGCTGGGCGGCCCCGCGTTAGGCTGGCCCAGCAGCTCCGGCCTTGCCGGCCCTTGTCCCTCAGTCCATGCAGCACTGGCCACATCCTGTGCTCTTGGCGCAGCCACCCCCTGGGCAGTGCTCACTGGGCCTCGGAAGCCTCCAGCGATCAGTAACAGGGTACAGTGGGGCCACACAAGCTGCTGCCACGCCTTCTACTCAGGGCTGGAATACTCGAAATCTGATAAAGCGTTGTCCAAAAGGCCACGTGCACTGTAGGGTTCCACTTGTGTGAAGCGCTCCGAGTCAGTCTGGCCGTCCGGAGGCGGGACCAGGGGTAACTGCTGACGGAACGTGGCTTCTCCAGGGGACGCTGAGGTGTTTTGGAGTTTCCAGTGGTGACGCTGGCCTAACCTCAGAAATACGGGTGCACTGCTACCTCGGGCCCTCCCACGTGGTAGGTTTTAGGTGTGCGCGTTCTGTCTCAGCGACTACGAGCTTGTCCACTGTGAGGTCAGAGGAGGAGAGGTGTTGATTCTGGGGCGTGTGTCCACCGCAGGGAGAGGGCACCGGCGGTCTGCGGCGGTCGCCCCGCGTTTCCACACCCCGCCAGGATTTGGGGCACACCATGTGCGTGTGCTCATGGGTTCCACAGGGTTCTGTGGCTGGGACTGGGCTGGCCATGTGCCGTGGGCTCCTGTCCCGGTGCTTTCTGCGTGCAGGGCCTGCTGCAAGGAGCCTTCTGAGTGAGCGAACAGGAGCCTGGCAGGCCGTGGGTGGCCGTGTCTGTACCGCCCTTTCCCTGTGGTTCATTTCATTTCTTCCTCTGGCGATTCTAAGCCCTGTTTCATGCCAGGAGACCCCATCGTTGGGGTCTGGGGAGAGCACGGGCCCTGCCCTCACTTGTCCCCACCTCCTTAGTGCACGTACTTCCCTGTGGCCTTCTGCTTGCCAGGTTTAGAAGGCCACCGTGTCACCAGTGGGGACAACCGTCTGAGCCTGAGCCACACAGGTAATGCAGGAAGGTGACCTTCTCACACCCCTCACTGCTCAGCTAGCGGGAATAGAGCCTCGTAGTATCTTGGTGGTTCGACACCTCAAATTCGCCTTTTTAATCTTTTGTTTTTCTTGAAAGAATTATTTTATTTATTTATTTGTTTGTTTGTTTTTAACTTGACCAGAGAGGGACAGAGTGAGAGAGAAAGAGGGAAAGTGAGAAAGCAAGCTCCCAGGGCTGGGACTTGAACTGTGGTCGGCCATGTGGGAGTCCAGCACCCTTAAGCAGCATGCCACCTGCCGGTCCCTGACACCTCACATTTATTAAGTGTGTTTGATGGGCAGAGGAGACGCTGTCTTGACCGTTTGATCTTTTCATGTCTGAGCCTCACAGTGCAGCCCCTGGTTTTCCTAATGTGTGGGTGGTTCTCTATTGCTCAGACCCCCCAAGTAAGTTTTATTTCTGATAGCCCACAAATCTGAAAGAAGCCATGCCTTATTCTTTTCTTTAAAAAGAACTATTTATTATTACTAAGACTTGCTATAGGACTTGTACACTCACCAGAGAGAGAGCAAGAGGGAAAGTGAGAAACCAAGCCGTCGGGTCCAGGACTCAAACCGTGTTTGGACACGTGGGAGTCCAGCACCTTAACCAGGGTGCCACCTGCTGCCCCGGCACGGTTTATTGCAAGTACAACGTTAGCAGACCCAGAGAAGCACAGGCTTCCCAGAGTGCTCAGAAACAGTTTTTTATGCAGTTCTGAGAGCTGGAGACAGAGTAGAGAACCAGCACGCGGGGTCTCTGCAGTGGCCTGGCCCAGGAAGGAGGACGTCTGGAAACGTGGCTGGGAGGTGATAGGTGGGTTAGAAGTTCTTAGGTTAGTAGTTGGTTAAATTTGCAGGTTCTTGTTTAAAAGAGACCTGGAGCCAGTGGACAGGAACGTCTGATTGGACCTAATGTAGACGATAAGGCCTTGCTGTCTGTCGACGGTGCTGCGCCAGGTCCAGACGCAGGAGCTGCCCACGGCACTGGACCGAAGCCGTTCTGTGACAGCGGGATTCGTGTGGGCAGGCGTGACCCTCCCAGGCCCCCGGGAGAGCGTCTCAGAGTAGGAAGGAGAGTCAGGAAGCTGTCCTCAGGGCCATGGCTGGCCTGGAAAAGAAGCCATGGATCACCTAGCATCTCCTAAGGTACGTGCCTGTCCGTGTGTGAGAGGGCCTCTGCTTCCGAGCTGGAAGCCGTCCGGGAAGGACTCGCCCACAGTGGAATCGTACCATGGGCTTATTTTTCTTCAGGGCGTCTATTTATTTGACCGTCTCCCACCGTTTGTCAGTTTCTCAGCAGTTCGTAACGCCCGTGCCTCTCTCCCGTGTGTGTACACAGTACGAGTGTGTTTGATTTCATGTCTCTCTCCATTTAAACCGTGCTGAGTGACGGGGTGTGTAATGTGCCGACCGAACATTCCAGATCCAAACCGACACCTTTAATTCTTCAGCAGAACCTCGGTGGGCATGCCGAGGTGCTCACCCTCCCCGGGGTGCAGCACCTGCCATCCTCAGGCCATCCCGTGCTGCTCAGGAGGGCTGAACACGGCCCCTAACCCAGGGCAGATGTCAGGCCCGGCTGGAGGGAGACTTGGCCACTCCTTCCGAGGGCTCGCATGGGCGCAGACATTTCTGCTGGCAGCGACAGAAGAGTGGACCCGGCCTCCCAGGGCCTGTTGGGAAATGGCCGCTCTGCTGGGGAGGGAGCTGACCCGGTGCTGGCCGGCAGCGGACCGCGCCCCGGGCGGCCCGGCTTGGGGCTGGCCCAGCAGCTCCGGCCTTGCCGGCCCTTGTCCCTCAGTCCATGCAGCACTGGCCACATCCTGTGCTCTTGGCGCAGCCACCCCCTGGGCAGTGCTCACTGGGCCTCGGAAGCCTCCAGCGATCAGTAACAGGGTACAGTGGGGCCACACAAGCTGCTGCCACGCCTTCTACTCAGGGCTGGAATACTCGAAATCTGATAAAGCGTTGTCCAAAAGGCCACGTGCACTGTAGGGTTCCACTTGTGTGAAGCGCTCCGAGTCAGTCTGGCCGTCCGGAGGCGGGACCAGGGGTAACTGCTGACGGAACGTGGCTTCTCCAGGGGACGCTGAGGTGTTTTGGAGTTTCCAGTGGTGACGCTGGCCTAACCTCAGAAATACGGGTGCACTGCTACCTCGGGCCCTCCCACGTGGTAGGTTTTAGGTGTGCGCGTTCTGTCTCAGCGACTACGAGCTTGTCCACTGTGAGGTCAGAGGAGGAGTGGTGTTGATTCTGGGGCGTGTGTCCACCGCAGGGAGAGGGCACCGGCGGTCTGCGGTGGTCGCCCCGCGTTTCCACACCCCGCCAGGATTTGGGGCACACCATGTGCGTGTGCTCATGGGTTCCACAGGGTTCTGTGGCTGGGACTGGGCTGGCCATGTGCCGTGGGCTCCTGTCCCGGTGCTTTCTGCGTGCAGGGCCTGCTGCAAGGAGCCTTCTGAGTGAGCGAACAGGAGCCTGGCAGGCCGTGGGTGGCCGTGTCTGTACCGCCCTTTCCCTGTGGTTCATTTCATTTCTTCCTCTGGCGATTCTAAGCCCTGTTTCATGCCAGGAGACCCCATCGTTGGGGTCTGGGGAGAGCACGGGCCCTGCCCTCACTTGTCCCCACCTCCTTAGTGCACGTACTTCCCTGTGGCCTTCTGCTTGCCAGGTTTAGAAGGCCACCGTGTCACCAGTGGGGACAACCGTCTGAGCCTGAGCCACACAGGTAATGCAGGAAGGTGACCTTCTCACACCCCTCACTGCTCAGCTAGCGGGAATAGAGCCTCGTAGTATCTTGGTGGTTCGACACCTCAAATTCGCCTTTTTAATCTTTTGTTTTTCTTGAAAGAATTATTTTATTTATTTATTTGTTTGTTTGTTTTTAACTTGACCAGAGAGGGACAGAGTGAGAGAGAAAGAGGGAAAGTGAGAAAGCAAGCTCCCAGGGCTGGGACTTGAACTGTGGTCGGCCATGTGGGAGTCCAGCACCCTTAAGCAGCATGCCACCTGCCGGTCCCTGACACCTCACATTTATTAAGTGTGTTTGATGGGCAGAGGAGACGCTGTCTTGACCGTTTGATCTTTTCATGTCTGAGCCTCACAGTGCAGCCCCTGGTTTTCCTAATGTGTGGGTGGTTCTCTATTGCTCAGACCCCCCAAGTAAGTTTTATTTCTGATAGCCCACAAATCTGAAAGAAGCCATGCCTTATTCTTTTCTTTAAAAAGAACTATTTATTATTACTAAGACTTGCTATAGGACTTGTACACTCACCAGAGAGAGAGCAAGAGGGAAAGTGAGAAACCAAGCCGTCGGGTCCAGGACTCAAACCGTGTTTGGACACGTGGGAGTCCAGAACCTTAACCAGGGTGCCACCTGCTGCCCCGGCACGGTTTATTGCAAGTACAACGTTAGCAGACCCAGAGAAGCACAGGCTTCCCAGAGTGCTCAGAAACAGTTTTTTATGCAGTTCTGAGAGCTGGAGACAGAGTAGAGAACCAGCACGCGGGGTCTCTGCAGTGGCCTGGCCCAGGAAGGAGGACGTCTGGAAACGTGGCTGGGAGGTGATAGGTGGGTTAGAAGTTCTTAGGTTAGTAGTTGGTTAAATTTGCAGGTTCTTGTTTAAAAGAGACCTGGAGCCAGTGGACAGGAACGTCTGATTGGACCTAATGTAGACGATAAGGCCTTGCTGTCTGTCGACGGTGCTGCGCCAGGTCCAGACGCAGGAGCTGCCCACGGCACTGGACCGAAGCCGTTCTGTGACAGCGGGATTCGTGTGGGCAGGCGTGACCCTCCCAGGCCCCCGGGAGAGCGTCTCAGAGTAGGAAGGAGAGTCAGGAAGCTGTCCTCAGGGCCATGGCTGGCCTGGAAAAGAAGCCATGGATCACCTAGCATCTCCTAAGGTACGTGCCTGTCCGTGTGTGAGAGGGCCTCTGCTTCCGAGCTGGAAGCCGTCCGGGAAGGACTCGCCCACAGTGGAATCGTACCATGGGCTTATTTTTCTTCAGGGCGTCTATTTATTTGACCGTCTCCCACCGTTTGTCAGTTTCTCAGCAGTTCGTAACGCCCGTGCCTCTCTCCCGTGTGTGTACACAGTACGAGTGTGTTTGATTTCATGTCTCTCTCCATTTAAACCGTGCTGAGTGACGGGGTGTGTAATGTGCCGACCGAACATTCCAGATCCAAACCGACACCTTTAATTCTTCAGCAGAACCTCGGTGGGCATGCCGAGGTGCTCACCCTCCCCGGGGTGCAGCACCTGCCATCCTCAGGCCATCCCGTGCTGCTCAGGAGGGCTGAACACGGCCCCTAACCCAGGGCAGATGTCAGGCCCGGCTGGAGGGAGACTTGGCCACTCCTTCCGAGGGCTCGCATGGGCGCAGACATTTCTGCTGGCAGCGACAGAAGAGTGGACCCGGCCTCCCAGGGCCTGTTGGGAAATGGCCGCTCTGCTGGGGAGGGAGCTGACCCGGTGCTGGCCGGCAGCGGACCGCGCCCCGGGGTGGCCAGTGTTCATGGAGCCCTGCGGTGGGAGGGATGAAGGGCAGCAGTGCACGGCTGCAGCACGTGGGGAGGCTGTGCCCGTCCAGGATCTCCCTGGGCACCTGGGCACACACGTGCAGGCTTGGGACCTCGGCTGGCACCGACGGGGCGGATTGTGGTGTGAGGGCGTCGCCCGGGGCACCTGCTGCTCGTCTCTCTTGCTCTGACTCTGTCTCTCGTAGAAGTAAATAAATAAACCTTAAAAGGCTTCCTAAAACTCACTCGCCGTGCCCTCTTAGTGCTCAGCAAGACTTCCCGTAAGCGGTCTGAAGTGTCCAGGTTGTTCGTGAATTCCAGTTCTCTTTACCAACCAAGCAGGGGCTTGCTTAATGTGACACTGAATTACAGACTATCTTCCATGGACTTCTTTTTTTTTCTTTTTTTGGAGAGGTTTGTGCTATAGGGCGCATGCGCTTGCCAGACAGAGAGACAGAAAGCAAGAAATCATCCCCCAGGGATGGTCACGCCACAATCCCTTCTCCTCCATTCTCCTCTCAGGATCTTGGGCACGCATGCACATGCGCCCAGCGTGACTTTAGGCCACCGGGTCCGGGACTCAAACCATGGTCGACTACATGGGAGTCCAGCGACATAGCCATTACGCTAACTGCTGGTCCCTCTTCCATGGACTTTGGAACACCCGAGACAGAGGTGCGCAGTAACGTAAGGTACCATCCACCTGAGGACACGGCGGCCTTCAGCACATTCCCCTGGTGTAGTCAGCACCTGCTTCCTGCCCTGATCCCCTCGCCGTCCCGCCCCGAGCCCCTCGCCATCCTGCCCTGATCCCCTCGCCGTCCCGCCCCGAGCGCCTCACCGTCCTGCCCTGCCCCCCTCGCCGTCCGA